ACACAGTTCACACAACCTGAGGCAGCACTGTTGGACTCGTACCACAATGGGTTGGACCAGCACACCTGGGGCCACACCTTGAGCCACCCAGAGCCACCCATGCAGGATACTACAGAGCATAGAGAGGGGTGGTGAGGATGCGGAGGCTCAGGTGGGGGATTAGAACTTTTTAACCAGAGGAGGGATGGCTGACCGGGTCAAGGATAGCCACCATGAGAGACCTGGGGACTGTCAGGAGGAGATGCACCCTCCAAAAAGCAATGGCACTCATATGGTGGCAGAACGTCCTGACCTATAGGTTGTCCCTAGACAGGATGGGGTCCCTAGGGGGTGTGGCCTGCCAGCAGTGGGCTGAGGGGATTCCTGCCCAAAGCGTGAATCGGGCTAAAGTACCTCAGACAGCACTGGGCTTGGGGCCTCAAGAGCTGTGTTCTCTCACCTTCTACCCATATGACTCTATGCCTTTATTTTCTTAATGTCTATAGCTATATCTTCCCTGCCTTGATATCCCCTTTGGTGTTTTGAGGGTCTCACGATATGGTGTATTTATTTAAAAACAAAAAACTCACTGCCATCAAGTCAATTCCAACTCATAGAAACCCCCATTAAGTTTCCAAGGTGGTAAACCTTTAAGGAACAGAGCCATTGTATTGTGGGGATTACAACCAATGTCATGAAACAAAATGTGTATGAACTGTTGTATGGAAAATGAATTTGCCCTATAAACTTTCACCCAAATCACAATTTTAAAAAATCAACAAATAGAGGAGTGGAGAAGGAACACACTGCCCCCTCCTGAGGCCTGCTTCCCCCTCTGCAAAGGAGAGCACTGGTCTCCTTGGATGCGCACCAAGGTTCCACACTCTAGTGCACTAGCACAGAGATGTCAGGCAGTCCCGACCTTGAACTGTGGCCTGGCCTCATCTCAATCTCTTTCTGCCTCAGTTTAGTACTGTGTAACCGAGGGTAACTATGCTTACCTCTAGGGTCATTTGTGAAGACCAACAGAGATACCACCGGGAACTTGCTCAACACAGAGGTGCACAGTAAGTCGTTTTATGATTATCACCATCTATCTTCCGAGCCGTGGGGGCTCTGTTGTGCCCAGGGGATATACCAGGGCTTGCCACAGAGAGTAGGTTTTGTTGAGGGGGCTGGCGGTTTGGAGAACTAAGGGGAGAGTATGTGGCCTGTAGGTGGGGCAGGGATCGCCCTGAATGAGGCGTAGTCACCACAGAGGAGATGGTGGTTCCCAGGCACCTCTAGCGTCACGGGTCCAGGCCGCGGAAGTAGCCTCACAGTATGCTGGGAAGTTTCCAGACCCCCAGCACAGGGGCGATTGCTTCCCGGGTCCTGGGGTAGGTTTCCAGGCCTCCAGGGGCAGAGAGTGTCTCACGGCCCTGGGGATAGGGGTTCCAGGCTCAGCCGCGACGCCTGGCAGGGCTGACGCGCCCCCCGCCCGCAGGCGCGCCATCGCAGCGCTGGTCCATGCATGTGCCGGCCGAGGTGAGCGCGGCGGCGGGCGGCGCGGCCGTGCTGCCCTGCACCTTCACGCACCCGCACGGGCACTACGCCGGGCCGCTGACGGCCATCTGGCGCACGGGCGAGCCCTACGCCGGGCCGCAGGTGTTCCGCTGCTGGGCAGCGCGGGGCAGCGAGCTCTGCCAGACGGCGCTGAGCCTCCACGGCCGCTTCCGCCTGCTGGGCAACCCGCGCCGCAACGACCTGTCGCTGCGCGTAGAGCGCCTCGCTCCGGGCGACGCCGGCCGCTACTTCTGCCGCGTCGAGTTCGCTGGCGACGTCCATGACCGCTACGAAAGCCGCCACGGCGTCCGGCTCCACGTGACCGGTGAGCACGCCGGGGACCCGGGGCGCCCTCTGCCGGGCGTGAGGGGCAGCCGGGCTCAGTCCATTTTCCCTCCTCTCCCGCCCTGCTCCCCAGGGCTTCCTGTGTGCCAGGCACTGTGCCAGCCTGTGGGATGGGACAGGGAATCACACATGACCCGTTTCCCTAGAGCAGGGGTCTCAAACCTGTACGTGGTTGCGGCCCCTGGGCCCTTATTGAAAATGCGTCCTTCCAAATTCTCATGGAATACAGAGTTTCCGGAGCCGTGGTGGTTGTATGAATCCTTGAAAACGGATAATCTTTAAACCTTAAACGAAAAATATCCCCTGAAGCCTTCTTAAAACCAAACAATAGCTTAACTAGTGTTTTTAAAAAAAAAAAAAAACCACTCTTCCTGAAGCATTGTGAGCTTTTAAGAACTGTCTATATGGGATCAAGAGAGCTCTGGTAGCGTAGTGCCTATGGCACTTGACTGCTAACCAGAAGGCTGGCGGTTCAAACCCACCAGCCACTCCTCGGAAGGCAGATGGGGCAATCTACTTCCGTAGTGATACTGCCTCCGAAACCCAAGGAGGGGTCGCTATGTGTCGGGTGTGACTCCACGGCACATAACAACAACAACATATGGGATCAAAGTGACAACAGGAAGTGGAAAGATTAGATAGGAACCCCAGAGGGCAGCGAGTTTATATGAATCGAGGGGAACAACTGAGAAAAGGGGGGGTGAGAATGGTTGCACAGCTTAGTGTAAGTCAATGTCACCGAATTGTACGTGTAGAAGCTGCGGAATTGGGATATGTTTTGTTGTGTATCTTCTCAACCACAAGGGCAAAATAAACAGCATTTTTTTAAAATAACAATAAATGCAGAATCTTGGCCCCAGAAAGGGCTTGCAGTTGGGTCCAGGAATAGCCATTTTCATGAAGCTCTTAAAGAATGATTGTCGCTGCCCACCACTGTTGTTATTGTCAGGTGCGCAGTTAATTTTGGGGTCATAGTGACCCCATGTAACAAGAGTAGAGCTGCCCCCATAGGATTTGCTAGGCAGTGATCTTTCTGAAGCAAATTACCAGGTCTTTCTCCCACTGAGCTGATGGGTGGGAACAAGTGAACAATAAATGTATCAAGCGCTGCAATGGGTGTGTGCAAAGTGCACTGACAAGCACCTATAGCTCCCCCGCAAAGGGTCCAGAGAGAGCTCACCAGGTGCGTGGCACTTTGTCAGACTCTGAGGTTCCTATGTGTGTGAACCAGGGTCCTTGTTTCTATAGCAGTGGCTCTTCACCTTAGCTGCACATCAGAACTGTCTCGGGACATTTTCCAAACCCTGAAGCAGCGTAGTGCCTAAGGCATTTGACTGCTAACCAGAAGGCTGGCTGTTCACACCCACCAGTCACTCCTCGGAAGGAAGGTTGGGCAGTCTATGAAGGTTGGGCAGTCTACTTCCGTAGTGAAACCAAGGAGGAGTCGCTATGAGTCAGATCCGACTCAATGGCAGTGAATTTGGTTTGGTTTTGGAAGCCCGTGCTGTGGTGGGCCCAGGAGTTCTGGGTTCAAGTGTGCTTCTGCCCTTGGCCTGGCTGATCCACTCCTCGGAGTACAATTCAGTTTCTTCTCAGGGTGGACGCCTCCCAGCGCCTTCCAGCGGATTCAGAGATCAATTTCAAGTCTGGAATTTGGTGAGGCTGTCTGGGAGTGGGGGGTGCCCTTGAAATCACACCTGCAGACAGCCCCCAGCCCTGCACTAGGACAATAATAAGCGCCCTGTTCTATGCACCTCAGACGTATTAGTTTACCAAATCTCACCAACCCCATAAGGTAAGTGCTATCATGACCCCCTTTTGACAGATGCAGAAACTGGCACCCAGCGGTTGAGTAGCTTGCCCAAGGCCACACCTGAGGCCACACCAGGCAACCTGGCGCCACAAGGCACTCCCTCCTTCCCGGTCCCCTCCAGCTCTCCCGCGTCCAGAGGGGGCAGGAAGGAGTGCCCCTGGCCGTGACGCCGCCGCCTTCTCTCTCGCAGCCGCGCCGCGTATCGTCAACATCTCGGTGCTGCCGGGTCCCGCGCACGCCTTCCGCGCCATCTGCACCGCCGAGGGGGAGCCGCCGCCCGCGCTCGTCTGGTCCGGCCCGGCTCTGGGCAACAGCTCCGCAGCCGTGCCGGGCTCGGCTCACGGCCACCAGGTGACAGCCGAGCTGCCCGAGCTGGCCCACGACGGCCGCTACACGTGCACAGCGGCCAACAGCCTGGGCCGCGCCGAGGCCAGCGTCTACTTGTTCCGTTTCCGCGGCGCCGGCTGGGCCTCGGCGCTCGCCCTGCCGCTGGGCGCGCTGGGCCTCAAGGCACTGCTGTTGCTAGGCGTCCTGGCCGCTGGCGTCGCCCGCCGCCGCCCAGGTGGGTGGGTCTGGCCGGCGGGGCGGGGGCGGGGCTCTCTGGCAAGACCACTGACCACCTGGCTTGAAAAAGCCAAAACGTTGATTGCGCCTTCTTGTGATCTCAGACTGCTAACCAGAAGGCTGGCGGTTCAAACCCACCAGCCACTCCTCGGAAGGAAGGTTGGGCAATCCTACTTCCGTAGTGATACTGCCTCGGAAACCCAAGGAGGGGTCGCTATGAGTCGGGGCCGACTCGACGGCACATAACAACAACAACAACAACATCTAGCATAGGAGATGGAAACCAACGTGAGCCCCATTTTACCCTAAGGACGTTGGGGCTAAGAGAATTTAAATAGCCTTCCTCTTGCATAGAGCCATGGAGCTAGAAACTGGTTGTCTAGCTCCAGGGCCTGCCCCTTTACCGTCAGCACGTCACTCATGGCGACCCCCGTGTGTGTCAGAGGAGACCTGTGCTCCGGATGGTCTCAATAGCTGATTTTTCAGAAGTAGGTCACCAGGCTTTTCTTCCGAGGCACCTCCATTTGGTTAGAAATCAAGGGTATTAACCATTTGCACCAGCCAGGAACTCCCACCCCTTTGCCACCATAACTGACCACTCTGTAAGGTCTCAGTCCCCAGGCTTTACCAAATAGCACCCTTCAGTTAGGTTACCACAGCATCGAGCACCTACTGTGTGCTGTGCAGTGGCTAGGAATACAGAGATGAGTAAGACATGGATGGTCCCCTGCCCTCAAATGGGATGCTAAGGAGTATGCTAATCATTACAGTACTGGGCCGTGAGAGGTGCAGCCCCCAGGGAAGGGAGAAGCACCCAGAGGGTGGTGTGCTTCCCGCTAGTGCGGGTCTGGATAGGTACCAGAAGGAAAGGCTTTACCCAGGAAGAAGGCTGGGAGCTAAAATAAACTACGTAGGTAGGCAGGAGGCAGGGAAAGAGGGTGAATGGCATTCCTAGCAGCCTGTGCAAAGGGATGAAAGGTGACCATCAGGGTGTCTAGAGAGCTATAGTTTGTCCCACACTGGAATAGCTGATCTGGACAGGACATTTGCTCTGTGCCCAGGGAGGGGACTTCTCAGAGCCTCTCAGACCCTCCAGGTCAGCAGCTCTGGTCTCCCAGTCCTGGATGAAATGGGAAATGTCTCCAAGTCACCCTGGCAGCTCGTGCCCAGCATTTTATGCTTCAGGAGGCTTAGAGCAGCCGTCCCTTCTCTTGGCCCACTCTTATCTCCACCGTCTCTTCATTAGCTCCTCATCATCTTACAGGTTAAGGCTTAAATGGCTCTTCATCCCACCCTGCTAGGCTGCTGATTATTGCTCTACTTGTCATGGGGTGGGGTGGGCGGGGTGGGCAGTGCATGATGGCTGGAGACTCATGCCTCCTTTCTCTGTCCCTCACACAGAGCACCAGGATATCCCACCACAGTAAGTGAACTACCCTGCCTCCCACTACCACCCCCAACTACCCTGCCTCCCAGACCCCATGGGCCCAGTGGAGGAGCCAGTTGGGGGATGGGAATCATGAGTAGCAGTTAGGGTTGAAACGTCAGGAAAGCAGTTGGAGCTTAGGCTGGAGGCCAGATGTTTGGACTGGATTCTGGAAGCCACAGATGACATCCCTCTGGATGGGGTATTGGTGGAGAGGATGAGAAACTATGGTCTGGGATTCTGTGAGCAGCGGTAGCCCCTTCCTTCCCTATTCCTGCCAGGCCCTGCCTCCAACATCTGATTAGTCTCCAAATCCTGTGGGGTTCCAGACCCTCTGGCTCACAGCCTGTTTCTGGCCCATTGCTAGGGAGTGGTAGAGCAGGTGGGGACCTACCTTCTATGTTGGGTGGTCAGTCAACTTTTTCCTGTCCACAGGCCCCAGGCTCAGGAGTCTAACTATGAAAATTTGAGCCAGATGAGCCCCCAGAGCACGCCGGCAGCCGTGTGTTCCCCATGTTCACCGTGACGAGCCCCTCAGCCCACCGACATCCACATGTGCACTGTGAGGAGGTGTGGCTCGTCCAGCTCCCAGCCTGGTAGCCGCCAGGAATCGGACCTCCACCCACAGATGCTCAGCTGGTCTCCATGGACATCTCTGTCTTGAAGCTCCGTGATATTATGACAGTGGGTCCAGCATTTTGGAAGGGTGTGTGTGTGCACGCATGTGTGTGCACACATGACATGCGTGAGCTCCAGTGTGCCACATCCGAACAGCTCACTCACCCTTTCTGACCTAAAACACCATAGTAGCACAGGCAGAAAATTAGTCATGGAATCTGGAGGCCAAGGCTGTGTCCTGGCTCCATCACCAGCTTGCTGTGTGGACTGGGACAGTATTTTCTTTTCTCTGGGTCTCAGTTCATCCACTGTTGATCATGGACAATAATATTACCCCCCTGGCTGGCAGGGCTGTGAAGATCTGAAAAAATCATGGATGTGAAGTACAAAGCCATCTACCGACGTGAGGGGCATTGCAGGCTCTCCTTGCAGAGTGACTTGGACATGCGGAGATGTCCTGCATATGTGAGACCCCCCCCCACGGGCCTTGATGACAACAGTGGGTTCCAGAGAACTAGCCTGGGGTTGGGGCTTTGGAGTTGAGGCTGTGCAAACCTGTGGTCAGGGCAGCGTCACATTCTGGGACTGCTGTGGGAAGAGGCCTGAAGCCCCGGCCTCCTGTGGACTCTGTAGCTGCCATCCAGCCTCTGCCCACCTCCTACCCCATCTGCTGCCCCACACTGCCTCGAACTCAGACCTCTGGCAAACGGGAACAAAGCACCCATCAGTTCCAAGCTCCTGGCAGTCACTGACCTCTGGGACCAGCTGAGCAGCCTGCGGGGAGGCCTAGGGCTTCAGGGTCCCCATGGATCAAGCAGCTGCAGCTCTGACCTTCTACAATCCAAATCCTTACAGGATGTGCCAAGTTCAAGGCTGTCTCACCCCATTTTGCCCTCATCCTGCCAGGCTGATTTGGAGGGTGGGAACGAGTTGATCCCATTGGCTTCTGCAGTGCTGGGGTTTAGGAAGAGGGCATAGGTGAGTTTGGGACCAGGGTGAGCTGGCAAGAGGAAAGGGTCACAGAGGTGGGGGACTGAAAAGGCAATGGGACAAACTCTCTTTCTTTGTCCAGAGGCTAGGATGTGAACATAGGGAACTCTCATGCTCTTCCGGGGAGATGGCCCACAGGTGGGGGGGGGGCGGCAGAGAATTGGGAGCAGCACCTGCTGACTTCCCGGTTGGATGCTCTCGGAGTTCTCACACTAGCAAAGTAGGTGGGAAATCGTGAGGGTGCCAGCAGAGGTAAGCAGGGGGTGCTATGTGAGTGGGGCCCTTGCAAGGGGTAATGGGCCCAGTCTTGGGAAGGCTTCCTGAAGAAAGGGATATATGAGTATGGTGTAAGTTGGCGAACAGAGGTTGGGAGGTAAAAAAGAAGCATTTTACACAGAAGGGATGATCTGAGCGAAGACCAGGAGGTCGGACACAGCATGATTTTTAAGAAGGTGAAATTTCCTGTAATGTGAGGTAAAGGAAGGGTGTGATCAGAGCTGAGGCCAGTGCAGTGGGCAAGTCAGACAACAAGGTGTGGGGCTGCCACAAATAGGGATGAGTGACAGAGGGAACCAGGGCCCCAGGTGCCAAGTGGGTGCCAGGCTCCTTGTACTGATTGACGTGACTACTTTTACCATCTGACCCAATTCTCTAGACCCAGGATGCACTGGGGCTGAGGTTCCCACCTTGGGACCCTGGACTCTTGGAGCAGTGTTCCCCAGTGGCTCCGTGGGTCACCTGCATCAGGCACACCCAGAGAGCTTGTTCAGATGGACATGCTGGGTACCACCCTGGACCTACTGAAGCACCTGGAATTTCAAACAGGTTCTCCAGGTGATGTTCCCCAAACTTTGTATTATGATCATTTTAAATACATGTTTTAAATGCTGAAGAAAACGGACACCCATATACCCACCACCTACGTTGAAGAGTTATGAGCATCTTGCCATATCTGCTGAGCCATTTGAGAGTAAGCTGCAAACAGCACAGTGCTTCACCCCTAAATGCCATGTCTCCTAAAAACAGGAAGCTTCTCCTCCATAACCTTGTACTGTGATCACATTTGACAATATTTACATTGTTGTTGTTGTTGTTGTTATGTGCCGTCGAGTCAGACCTGACTCATAGCGACCCCTCCTTGGGTTTCTGAGGCAGTATCACTATGGGAAGTAGATTGCCCCATCTTCCTTCCGAGGAGTGGCTGGTGGGTTTGAACCGCCAGCCTTCTGGTTAGCAGTCAAGTGCCTTAGCCACTATGCTACCAGAGCTCCCATTAATTCAATAATATTATCTTACAGTCCCTGTTCAGATATCCCCAGTTCTCCTCAACGTGTCTTTTTAGTTTGTTATTTTTACCCAGGATCCAGTTGACTCCTTAAGTAAGCTCTAGTTTGACACTCCTGCCCTGGGTTGGCCTGACCCTGTTTTCTGTAAATGTGTAAGAGTGGCTAAGCTGTCAATCAAGTGGCACTTGCTGCATGCTTGCACTTTGAAGAAGGGCTTCTTGGAAAGTAAAGCAGTGCCATCCCACAAATGAAAGCTCCTCTGGCTGATTTCAGACTCGTGGGGAGGACCTCTTAGCACACCCTTGAATGCTTCTCTTTGGTCTCCAGATGAAGCAGCTGCTCCTGGGAGAAGAAGGGGGCAGTGTCACCACTGACACTGAATTTGGCCATCTGGGCTGTCCTGGTGCTTGGCGCTATCCCTGTGAGGGGTTTCAGTGGAGCAAAGCTGCCTGTCCTTCCCCATCTGGCCCTCTCAGAGCGTCCAGGGCTCTGTCCGTGACAAGCAAGGACCAGAGCCGTAGGCTTAGTGAGCACAATGTCCTGGAGCCATGAAGGCAAGGAGAGAAACAACTGAGGAGACTGGGTGTTTCCAAGACTGGACTTTGTGGTGGTGCAGGATGAAGAGCGCGTGCCTTCCCCTTCCTCAGCCCATGAATATGAACCCGCGCTTCCTGAAAGGGGCTTCGACGAGCACACTTCCCTCCATTCTCAGCTGCCCACTGGATGGTTCCTGAAGATGAACAGTGACTGAGGGAGCTACAGGAAGTAGAGGCAGATCTTCTACCCAGGTCCCCCTGGATCCACCAAGGGTCCATCACTTTCGCTGCCTCAAGGAGCTGATAAGCTACATTGTAGAATTAGATGTAGCCACATGAGAAGAAACTGCCCATGAGATAATCCATGTGAAGCTGGGCTCTGCCTGGAGATGAAAATGAAGACTTGGCTAGAGATGCAGTTGGGGCAAGTTTGCACATGTATCCCCTTAGCCAGCTACCTACCATGGTGGGATGAGAGCCAGGGCCACCGTGAGTGCTCCGGTCATCTCCCCTCAGAGCCTCCAGGCTGGAAAGGGCTGTACAGGACTCCTAGTCTTTGAACCCACCTCCAGCATGGCCACTTAGGTCTAGCCTCTCCTGCCCCCCAGCAGTAACAGCCCCTTATGTTTCTGTGGCCCCATGTCATCCTCAAAGCCCCTTCACATCCATGATCTCAGGTACTTTTCACTAAAAGCCCAGAAGTAAGGCTGGAATTATCTTCATTTTAAAATGAGGAACAAGTCCCAAGGAAGAAAATGATCAGGCTGGGGGTCACATGTTTAGGGACAAATTGCAAGTAGACTCTGGAACCTATGGCTCTGGGCACAGCTCCTCCCACTGCCTCTGCATTCTTCTCACCTGTGATTCTCTGCCGTGTCTTTACTTCTCTCCCATGCCCCTTTCTCTGACATATTTCATGAACTAAAAAGAGAAAAGCATGATCTTGCAATACAAGGATACAGAATTAGTTGGGATTGGGACACTTCAGGTTTTCCTGATTTTGGTCCCCAGACCTTCCTCCCCAGCTTGTCCCCAAGTCTGTTTGCAGAGACCTCAGAGGGTGCCCAGGGCTGAAGATTAGCCTGAAGGGCTCCTGGAAGACACTCACCTCCGCCCTCCACCAGTGGCAGCCAGATCTGCCTGTGACCTCAGGATCGAGGAGGAGGAAGAGAAGATGACAGGAAGGAGACAGACAAGGGGAAAGTTGAGGAGGTTACACAACCACTGCTGTGGAGTTGGATATGACTCATAGCAACCCCTCCTTGGGCTTCTGAGGTGATATCACTATGGAAGTAGATTGCCCAACCTTCCTTCCGAGGAGTGGCTGGTGGATTTGAACCACCAGCCTTCTGGTTAGCAGTCAAAAGCCTTAGGCACTCTGCCACCAGAGTTCCCTAGCCTACTAATTTAGGCTCTAGTAAAACATAGTATCCAGGCCAGAGACTGTCCAGCTCCACACTGACCAACAGACTCTGACCAGGAAGGTGGGTCTGTTTCCTCAAAGAGTGGAGGCTAGCAAAGGACAATTGAGGGAAGAAGGCCAAGTTCAGAAGAGGAGCATTTTTTGGAGGAAGGTGTTGGCTCCTTCATCCACAGATAAAGGCCTTTCCTAATTCTCAGATTTGCTCATGGAGACTGTTAACCTGGTTCCTACACTAGGCAGAGGTGGGGCAACTTGAGCTCTAAGGCACTTTCCCACCCATAAATCCTGTTCTATCTGGAATAAGCAGTCAAGCCTAGAGGAGGGTGAGGGAGACACACCCTACACCTAGAAGGTTCTGTTCTGGGAAATCCCAAATTGAAGTTAATCCCAAATCAATGTGCAGACCCTCCACCCCTCTACCAACCTAAGTTGTGGTATTACCAGCATTCAGGGTGTGTCTTACAAATGTTCATGAAATTAACAGTTAAGGAAAATCTCCCTAGCATTCCACCATGGTAGGCAGATTGCCAGAATGGACCATGACCATGCTCAGGTTACAGTGCCCTCTCCTGGCAGCTTGGCCCTCCCACACCTCAGGAACTCAGGTGGTGGGGTCCTCTGTGCAACTTTCATGGCCGCCTCCTACCAAGGTCACAACTACATGGCCACATTACAGACCTGCGCAGGGCTCTCTTGACCTCGCTGGAGTCATCATATGGCCTCCCATTCTTACACCTCCAGGTTTCAAATTCTCTTTGAAGCTAGAGGCCTCGTCCATTGTGGTGACATGTCAACATAGAATGTACACCCCACCCATCACAAGAGTCCTAATTTCAAATTTCTCTCCATGTGATTTCTGGATGCAACCAACTTCCCAAAAACAAGACAGATGGGCCATGTGTAAATCAAATTTGAACCAAGTTTATTTGCAGAATTTTACTTAACCAATTCCCATTTCTTCCTGTTACTCACGATACAAAAACTCCAGTGCATAGACATGTAAAATGCTGAACAGCAAGATATTACTGTTGTACAGTTTAATGACAAAAATAAAGTCATGGTTTTAAGGTCACACTATACATGTGGGGAGGAAAAAAGTTGAATGCACTTAAATATTTGTCTCTACATGAGTGATTTTAGACCAGTGGAAGAAAAATTCACTTAGTGCTCAGTGAGCGGTATTACATCTGTACATTCAAAACCAAAGTTATACTAACCATCAGTATTCCTTAACAATTTCTTTACTCCAATATAGGATCAGTAGTTCAATTTTTTCCCCAAGTCATCAGAAACTAGTGACCTATCCAGAGTGAAAGACATTTCAAATACAGGGGCTGTGGGATGGAGGATGCTTAGCCAAATACATAGTTTTATCATCACAAACCACAACAAAGTCGGTATCAGCACCTAGCTGTAAGCCAAGAACCTCACCCAGCACAACCCAGGCACGAATGGAGGGTCACAGAAAGGTCAACTTAAAAAAAAAGCTTATTTCCCAACATTACATTCTCCATTTTGCTTAATGAGACAAAGTTAACTGGATAGGAAAATAATCAGCTACTACTTCAAAGTAAGTTGGAAAGTTCGCTCAAAACGAGTAGCAGGCAATTTTAAAGGGTAAGTGCAAAGTGCCTTGTTAGGCCTATCATGCAGATAGGGGATGAGAACAGTCTTCAGCAGCACCTGATCTAAACAAAGGTCTGGAGTTGGAACTAGTCACTAGTGAAGGTGCCAGCCATCAGGCACAGCTACTGAAAAACTGATGCCGCCCAAGTGTCCAGGGGAGTGATCCACTCTCTTTGGACCACAGCTAGTGGGACTCTTACTCCCCAGGGCAGGGATAGAGTGAGGCAAGGCATCTAAAGAGGCATGCTCTTGGGGTCTTGCAAGGGGGTGCTGACAGTGTGCACAACCTGAAATTTCCCAACCTAGGTGTCTTGTCTCACCCTACTGCTTGCCCTGCTAACCCCAAGCATAGCTCCTTTAGGATTTGCAGACTGACTTAGGTACCTTTTCAGAAGTGCAGCCCTATGAGATACCATTATGGTGGAAGAGGACTAAGAAAAGGCACTGGGGGCATCTCGCCTGGAGAGGGTTAGGGGCTGCTGTGGTCAGAGAAGTGATGAGATCTGAAAATGTCTGAAGGTCTGTCATTAGGGCAAGAGTAACCCCAGCTTGGACTGCTCCAGACAGAACCATGATCAATGGGCAAAGTTACCAGGAGGCCAATTTCATCTCAACATCAAACAGAACTACACACAGAGCCATCCAGTGGCGGCATGGACTTGCCCACCAGGGGCTGGGCTGGAACAAGTCACTGGAAAGGGTTGAGGAGAGGCTGAAGGATCACTTTTTGGGGGACTAGAAGAGCTTTAATGCCCTTCTAAGAATCTATGATTCTGTCATTTGCTTCAGGCTCCAGAAGATATGATTAATTTTAGGGTTAAAAGGCCAATGAAAAACTATATATAACCTTCACTGAAAGAGAAGAAAGGATACGGACACTCTAACTGGTACATGAATGGCACTGATTCTGGTGACTGATTGGGAGTATGGGGTGGGGGGTAACGCCTGGTTAAAAGTGAGGCTAGGCTGGGCTGTGGGTTTTAATTTTCTCGACTAGGCTTTCCCCAATTTCAAAGAACTAAGACTCAGGTAAAAGGAGAAGTATTGGAGACTGACTTTGTTGAACGAGCCAACAAAAAACTGACCATGAAATTAACAAAGTATGTAGTCAATGTCATGAGACAAAGTCTATGTGAACTACTGAATGGAAAGTGAATTTGCTCTGTAAACTTTCACCCAAATCACAATTGAATAAAAAAGAAAATAACAAAGTGAGCCATGTCTTGGGGTTGAGGTCCTGAGTGTGACAAGGGCTTGAGAAACATGGATGGGTGGGTCGCAGCTCCAGCTGCCACCGTCAGGGCCAGCAGACACATCTGCAGGGCCTCTCCTCAATGCCCAGTGCCTTCCAGCTCTCAGTCATTCACTAATTCCAAAGTCAGGAGGTGGAGCCGTGAGATAAACGGGATCAAGTCTGATTCTCTGACCCATCCTTTGTGTACCCATGTGGAGGGAGGTGGGTGGAGGAGCAGAAAAGTTGCTTCCCTTTGACACCAAAGCACCTCCCCACCTCCCAGCCATTAGACACGCTTACCTGAAGCACTGGATGCCACTGATGGTCACTGTGCTGTGAGTGTCTCGAACATGTACAAGTTCACCTTCAACACTGCATTCAGCACACAAGGGAGGCCTTGCAGACATCTACCTGCAGGACATGTCACTGTTTCTGAAATGGTGCTGCCTGTGCTCTGACTGCAGTCCACTTTTGCCAAGGCCTGTTGCCTCTCAGAGCTACTAGGCATGCTGGTCTACCTGATGCCGCCTTTTCCAGGCAGCTACAGCAATACTGCCATGTTCTGAACGATTTCAGTGTCGCTAAAGCACTTGCCTAGCTGGGAGCCTCTCACAGGAAGCTAGGCAGTGAGACACTCTCCAATGTTAAGCATGAAGGACCTAATAAGGGAGTACCTTCACCAGCCATCTCGGATCACTGTTTTGAGTGTCGAATAAATGGGATGACGTCAGGCATTAAGATCGATATCAACTTTAACTGAAATGCTGTGCAAAGTGTGACATCCCAAAAAACTGGGTTCTTACCAGCTACAACTAAAGGTTAGTTTTATTTTTTTAATAATTTTTACAGACCAAATTACATTACAAATATTACAAACTTTCAAAAATTAAGAGGTTAATCACAATTTTCTTTAAGATGTACACACCATCACTCAATAATTTCACATTCTAGGATTTCAGTAATTGCATCCTCCTCAAAGAAAACAGCACAGGAAATATTTCCTGTCATGAAATCATTGTTGTCAAACCAACCATTCAAATGTCCACGGCTTCTAAAGTTTCCTGCACACGCAGGATGGGGAAGACGACCGATTTTGAAAATGGAGAAACAGGACCTGACAAAGAAGCGAACACAAGACAAAGCTCTACGGCAGGCATGCTCCGAGGTGGACATGGGAACATACGGAGGGTGAACAGGGACGACCTTTGTCAGAGCTCCAGAGCAGGTCTGTGAAGCCGATTTCTTCTGTTCAACTGAAGAAATTCAGGAAGACGAGCCTTACCTACTTCCAAATGGTGAGGGAACGCTCCAAAAGAGACTTGAGATTATCACTCCACTAGCCTGCACTCCTCACTGTAAGCTCAGGGCTGTTCCGACATTCTTTGGTAAATATTCTAGGGCTATCGATAACCCATAAACAAAAGACACATTATGCAAGCTGGACAAATAAAATCAGTTCTGAGCCAACAGAATTACGAAGATGATGACAGAAGTCAATTTGTTAGTTCCTGGGGAAAACAACATGAGCAAGGAGCTGGCAAGAGAACAAGGCAACTCTACAGACAGGCTCTGGTAATGGAGGCATCATTACAACAGAAGGCACATGGCTACTGAAAAAAAAAAAAGCCAAACGTCAGTGAGTCTCCTGCCCTGACCCGATTTCCATGGACAAATATTTCCGCAGGTCCGCTAGCTTCATCTGAGTTCAAATAGGGAATGAAGAAACAAGAAAGGAATATGGAATCACCCAGTCCTTTGTTGACAGTAGGGCCTTCAGATAGCCAGTGTGGTGACTAGAGAGTGACAAACCCAGATGCTGACAGGAGCTGAGTGAGTGGTGGGAACCTGGGAGGGAGGGCTGGGAGAAGGATCAGAGGAATGGAGGAAAAGCAGTGAAGCAGAGAGTGAGTAAGAAGTCCTGCCTACACGCTCCACCGTGAGGACCAAGGAGAGCACACTGTGCCTGGAACTCTCATCACAGACTGTCAGTGCGCCACCCAGACACAGATAGGTGGTTCCTGCTCCATGAGGACAGACAGCTGGATGGACATGAACTTGTCCCCACTCTCCACTACCACCAGGATCAAATTGTCACATTTTAGACAATGATTCACTTTAAACGCCAACTTTTTATTGTCAGCTGTTAGCAGTGGTTGGAAACAGAGGACTTGTGATCATAAACATGGCTCCTGACTAATTCAGCACTCTGAGCTCCCTTCTTAGAGAAAGAACACAGTTCCTTTAAGTGGGTGTGTTTCCCCACTTTTGGGAAATGCAGACATTTTCAAAGTCAGTATGTTTAACTTTGGGAGAACTCAAATGGGGTTCAAAAGTCAGGTGTCTACATGACCCCCGAAGTAGTCAGAGCTGGTCCAGAGTCTTCACATTTCAAGAAAACTGGAGAAAGAAGAAGTGGACACATACAAGAACCTCCTTCTGGGGTCCTGTGAGATGACTGGTAAGTTCAGCAACAGTGAGGGGTGCAATCCCCAAGTGGAACTTACTAAGTTTCTCCTATTGGATGACATAAAAACTAACAAGTTCCAGGGAGGTCTTAAGGAACTGATAAAACACACAGACACACACACGTGCACATGCACAGCTGCGTCACCCAGAGCCTCCGACGTGCATCCCCGTCACTCCTCACTGGCTGAGCCGAGCTCTGCAGTGCAGCTGAGCAAAGTTCCTTGTGTAACAGCAAAGTTAAATGTCAATAAAACAGCAACAGGTTTGCTATGGGCCTCAGTGTGCTATCGTATGTTGTCCAAATAATGCACTTCTGGGTAGAGACAGTTAATAAGAAGAGCCAGGAAGCTCTTCCCATCTTGGAGGCAATGGCCAGGATGCTTTATAAACTGGCTCGCTTGAGATACCTGATTCTGGTATTCCACATACTGCTTACTTGATGTCATGGATTCAAGAGCATTCAGAGCCTGAAAGACACGGAAGATAGGAGCATTAATGAGACTCATGGAACTTGACCTCCACAGGTACTGCACAGCTTTCTGTTACATTTCAGTGTAACTCTGAGTCTTGGGTGGAGACCAGACAACTGGAAATAGGAGTAGAGAGGGCAGGCCCTCATTAACCACAACCAGAAGGATGCCAGCAACCCAACTTCCCCTGGGCTTTGCAGCTTCCACATCTAGTCCTCCCTTGTGTGCTCTGCCATTTCCCAACCCTTTCCCAGAGCCCCTGCTGTGGTCAGGCTGGTTTTGTTGCTGTATATTCCTCACCTCTCCACTCACTGCTGAAGTCATGTCTTGCCCCCTTTTTCCCTCGGTGCCACCTCCTGAGCCCCCCCTGAAAGATCAGGCCCCAGCAAAAGGGTGAACCTTCCCCTGCTCCCTCTGCTCATGGAGCCCCAGCCGTACCCAGAGTCCACGTGGTGCTTCCTGGCTCTGAACTGCTTCACAAGACCAGCTGCATCTTGCTACCGGGGGAGCTCCTGGGTTTGTTCTTAGCTTACAAAGCAACATCACACTCAGCTGTCCAACTGAACAAAATGCTAAAGAAATCGTTTGCTAAGTGCCACTGAGAGCAACCAACAAAGTCGTTCAATCAGTAAACAATGATCAGATCCCGCTTCTCCCCCTTCCATCTGACACACTGCATAGAAAGGATGGAAGAAAAGATTTCCACAACCCTCCTCAGAGGACAACTGTTTAATTTTCATTTCTCCTTCCTTCACAGTGGGAGAAGGGGGGGTGGGGCGGAGACTGTAAGTGGAGAGAAACTAACACAATCCCAGAACAATGATTCTTGAGGTATGGGCTTTTGTTTCCCAACTGCACAAGCTCACCCACCCCAGGACTGTGAACATGTTCCCCACCTCTTGGGACACACCCACCACCAAGGAAGTCCCCACTCCTTCCCTGCCCATCTCTGAGAAACAGTGCACTAGAGAATATATATTAACAGATGGAGTTTGCTTGCCTGAAAAAATAAGGAAAACTTTTGGAGGGATGGTTAATGAACAGACAGCTTAGTAATAAATTAACAGTGAGCTGTACACAGAAGTCTTAGAGTTGAAAAAGAACAACTGAAAGGATTTTGATACCAAGTGAAGAGTTACGTGAACTGAGTTCAATCTCTGAGCAGGAGTCAGTGACGACAGGCCTCCCATGCATCACAGTTTGTCTGTTTCTCCCCATCTCTCTCTCTCTTAAGTTTAGTCCCTAAATGATCTACTTTGACATCTGCCTAAGAGAAATCATCTTCTAAAGAGTGAACTTGATTTTAAAAAGTCTGAATGATAGGTTTGGAGGTCTCTGTGCAGGGAGTCATCATTTCAGATTTAAAGGCATTCAAGTAGAGATCACAGGCTTGCACAGCCTGCTGGCCACAGGAGAGTCACAGGTGCTGTCACCCCTCTGACCTCTCAAATCCACCATGACATGCAGCTCACTGACTTCACATCTGCCTTGGAAGACTCACCTGCCCACCTGTGACGTTCCATGTAAGACACTGAAAAAACCCAAACCCACTGTCTTGAGTCAATTACTAATCATAGCAATCCTATAGGACAGAGTAGAATCTGTGGTGTTTCCAAGGCTGTAAATCTTTACAGAAACAGACTGCCTCATTTTTCTCCCATGGAGTGGCTTGGGTTCAAACCACTAACCTTCTGGTTACACCACCAGAGCTCCTTATAAGGCATTAGGGAGAAGGAAAAATATGACATCAGGGATTTTAACAGCAGTCGTCTTGCGAGTCCATTTCAAGTGTCGGTAAATCCAGACCCCTGAAGAACCTGAAGACTATACTATTTGATACTTGGTTTCAATAACCAGGATGTCACAGGTGGCTGGCTTAGACATCACAAAGCTGCAAAAGCAACGTTTTCAGAAGAGCTAAGGATGTATAAGCACCTACCACTGAAAGAGAGTGCAGCAGAGTGGTGAGAGAGTAAGCCTGGAGGAGCCACACTGGCCAGGTATACAACCCAAGCCCAACACTTACTAGCTGTGTGATTTAGCAAGTTACTTAGCCTCTTTCTGTCTCTGTTTCCTCATCTGTAAATCAAGGATAATAATAGTTTCTATGTTGTTGGGGTAGTACAAATGGTTAATGTTTGGCTGCCAACTAAAAGGCTGAAGGTTCCAGCCCACCCAAAGGCACCTTGGAAAAAAAGCCTGGTGATTTACTCCCAAAAAATTAGCCACTGAAGACTCTGTGGAGTACAGTTTTACTCTTACACATATGGGGTCCCCATGAGCTGGAGTCAATGTGACAGCAAATGATAACTGGTACATGCTATAGGGTTGTTAGGAGGCTAAATGAGTTAAAATTTAGAATGATGCCTGGCATGTACTAAGCACTCAAGAATACTGGCCATAGTTTTATGTTGTATGGGACCAACCTGTTTATAGGTGAAAAACAGAGTTACAGCAATGTGACCACTGTCATGTGGGTTGCATGTTTTTAGAACAAGTCTAATTTCCTGTGGCTATCTTTTTGTCAGTGTTAGGTTACTCCAACATCACTCAACAGTGGTCAACCTCTAGACTCACAAAACAGGGAATACTTCATTGGATTCAAGTTATAGCTTAGTTCACCTTCATGAATCTCAACTCTGGCCACACTGTCTGTGCCAGCCCACAACCTCCAGGAAGTGGCAGATCAGTGTCATCAGAACAGAGTCCAATGCTAGACCAGCTTCCCTGTGGTCTTGCTTCTTCTACAATAGCAGTAATAATGCCTGAGGCTAGTGCCTACAAAACACTGGTAAAATCCAAGGTGGCACATACTGGAACCATTTTCCAGTAAGTAGAACCTGCTAGGGGGACTACTGTGCTACTAAGATCACCATGTCATGATGTGTAAAAGACAAAGGGGAAGCCACCACTTCTCGATCTTCTGGGGAAGGTCAGGTAGGAAACATCTAAGTCTTAACTGTAATGCTGTTTTTACTGACCTGCTGAGCTTTTGGAGTGAGATGTAATTCAGAGCCAGGCTTCAGTCGGATCTGGTCATCTGTAGGAACCTGAACTGAAAGGAAGGCAGCCATGCTGCGGGCGACCACTCGGAACCTTAAACATTAGGAGGAAGACAGAAGAAGCAAATTACTATTGGGTAAATTGGGTAAGCATTTTAAGAGGCGCTCTGGTGGTGCAGTGCTAAATAAAGCCTTTGGCTGCTAACCAAAAGGCCAGTGGTTCAATCCACTACCCATTCCATGGGAAAAAGATAAGGCAGTCTGCTTCTGTAAAGATTTACAGCCTTGGAAACCCTAGGGAGCACTTCTTTTCTGTCCTATAGGGTCATTATGAGTAAGAATTGACTCAATGGCAGTGGGTTTTGGTAAGCATTTCAAATTAAACACTGTATCTTCTATTGAAAAAAAAAATTCTAGCGCTATTGTTGTTAATCTTTTTTACTATTTAATTTTTTTATTTATATTGTGATTTGGGTGCAAGTTTATAAAGCAGATTCATTTTACTCTTAACAGTTCATGCACATTTGATTTCATGGCCCCAGTTATAATCCACAACCATAAAAAACTCTCTTCACCTCTCCTCCCTGTAAGTACGCTTTCCCTCTATGTGAATGCTGCCCCTCTGATGTCTCAGGGCTGATTGATTAAGGGATGCATCTCCCTGGGGTAGGTGTTCTGCTTGTAGGTCTTTCTACTGTTGGACTGAGAGCCAATCCACAGAAGTGAGTTCATTTCCAAGCACGAAGGATAACCCAGGGCCATAGTTTCAAGGGTTTACCAGTCTTCTTCAGAGAAGAAACCTTCCCTTCTCTTCCATTATTACTATTCAAACAATGTATGCATAATTCAGATTCAAGAATAAAAGAGCCTGATTCAACCATAAGACACACAAGCCCAATGTAAGAGAAACAAAAATCACATAATCCTGCTGAAATCTACCAAAAACGAAGAAACATGATGTGAAGTAGTTTGGATTCCGTGATTCTCAAAGTGCTACAGTATGTTGTCCTATTATTCCACAAGAACACTGACATCTGAATGGTCTGGTATCTTTCTAACTCTGAGAAGGGCTTGAAAAAGAAAACCATGATATACATAGATATTATGAGAGAAAATGGGAGACTTATGGAAAAGTCTTTCATGCTTTGGGATTTTTTAGCAACAAAAACCTAGCAATTTATTGTTACTTAGTATCCTTCCTACCAACTCACCTTAATCCATCCTGACAACTTGCTGCTTCTACTGCTCTGAGCCCCTCCTGGGCCCTGCATTTCCTGAGCTCACAGTAGGATGATCAAGCGCTCAAGGTAAAGCAGCTAACTGGGGTCCTGTAACCTAGCCTTGCTCACCATCGCTGGTCCAGGGCCAAAATGAAATTAGTAGCAGGGTAGGGTAAAAAAAAACCAAAAACTCGCTGCCCTCAAGTCAGACCCGACTCATAGAGACCCCTCCTTGGGTTTTCGAGGCACTATCACTACCGAAGTAGATATCCCGACCTTCCTTCTGAGGAGTAGCTGGTGGGCTTGAATTGCCAGCCTTCTGGTCAGCAGTCAAATGCCTTAAGAGCTCCTGTGGGGTAGGGTATCAAAGTCAAAATATAAGAGATATAACTAAAAGAACATTGTTTGAACTTACTTAAAAACAAAGTTGTTTTTAAGTGAGGAGAAAGTAAACACACTTTTAAAAATATAAAGATGTAATCAGGCTCTGATATCCACCCCGCCCCCACCTCATCTTTGTGGAAAATTTAGCTTCTAACTCAAAAATTCTGTACAAGGACCACAATCTCTAAGTAGGTGCAGACATTGGAAGCCTGTTTAGTAAGAGCAGTGGCAGGGCTTCCTTACCTGTTAGACAAGGGTGATTTTCGGCCCAACCCGATTGCTCCCAGAATCCCAGAACTTAGCCTCTCCTCGGCCACCAGGCTCTGCCTGCTCTGAAGCATAAGCAGAATTCGAATGACAGCTTCCATCAAGACTGCGTCATTCTGTTCTGTCTGTACCAGGGCCAGCTGCAGGACCTGGTGCCACCACAAAAACAGCTTGGCCTCTTCCTGCACAGAGCTGGGCAGGGGGAATGGGACACACAGAAGGAAAAGAAAATTAAAAGTGGAGTTTTCTGTACCCATTTAACTGAACATTATATTTGAGTTTCAAGCACATGGGGCATTTAATACCTTGAAAAATTAGACTAACAGGTAATAATGTTAATAGAGTAATGAAATTGTAATTGCTATTATGTATTGAACATTTACTATCCACCAGACACTATATGGGCTTTTTGTTCTTTCACTTAATCCTTTTAACTACCCTGAGGGAGGTATTATCTCTTAACAGATAAGGAAACTGAAGATTGGTGTTTCAAAATGCCATTTGCAAGAAATAAAACCCACTCAGAAAACTAGTCCACAAGTAACAATCTTTCTATAGCAAGCTGTACTTCATAGCCTTTTTGGCTCTTTGGGGGGAAAAAAAAAAAAAAAAAGAAACACATGTACCACTTAGATCTGTGTGTACTTAAAATATATTTAAATCCTAAAGTCCAAGTTGGGAGCTCTGGTAGCAAAGTGCCTAAGGCACTTGACTGCTAACCAGTAGGCTGGCGGTTCAAACCCACCAGCCACTCCTCAAAAGGAAGATGGGGCAATCTACTTTCTTAGTGATAGTGCCTCAGAAACCCAAGGAGGGGTCGCTATGAGTTGGGTCCAACTCCACAGCATATAACAACAACAAAGTCCAAGTTAACCAAATACAATTAGTTTGATTCATTATATTTGGTTAACTTGGGCTTTAGGGTTTAAATATATTTTAAGTACACAGATCTAAGTGGTACATAAGCATAGTGCCTAAGGCACTTGACTGCTAACCAGAAGGCTGGTGGTTCAAACCCACCAGCCACTCCTCTGAAGGAAGGCTGGGCAATCTACTTCCATAGTGATACTGCCTTGGAAACCCAAGGAGGAGTCGCTATGAGTCGGATCCAACCTGATGACACATAACAACAACAAGTTTGATACAACAGCCAGGGGGCCAACATACCTTGGATACACCTGTTCCAACCATTTGCTTAAGATGAGCAACACTTTCATGTCATTCCTTAGAGTCTGTTCACTATTTAAACACTGCAGCAAGTAAACATAGAGAGTCAAGTAACTGCCAAGGGACAGGCACTCCTGCAGAAATTCTTCTATGGTGAGCTCAGGAACTTGCAGGGATACCAGAATGGGGCCCCATCCTAAGTTTTGATTGAGCAAGTCTAAGAAAAGAACACCAAAGAAAGAATCAAGATAAACCCGAGTCAAATTAACGAACTACCTCCGTGAACCTTTCCACTTTAAGCTTCCTGTCAAGGAGACATTTCTCACGTCAGCCCCAGATGACACGAAAGGGAAATGGGTCTCGGGGTTTAGACGAGAAAGCCCTCAACTGTTAAATGTCAGTGCGCAGGTCTGTCACTATCAAGGTGAAGAAACTGGAATTCAGGGCTGCACACAGGTATACCACCCTTCTCACGAGCATCAGAATCACACGTGGACACTGCCGATCCAGTCATTTAAGTTATAACTTTATCTAGGACCATTTTTAAGTATGATTACTCATGCTTTTCCAAGGGAAATTATTTTGTAAGTATTTTTATTGATCAAAGATCAGTTTGTCTCATATCCCAATAGAAACCCTTGAAAATGTTTCACAAATTGAAAAAACAAAACAAAACCAGTTTTGACTTTAGTCACACAAAGGAATCTGGAATAGGAATGTTACTCTAATGTTTCTCAACTCTGGGGGGACTGAGGTGGGGAGTCACATGATGACAAGCACAGCACTTCCCACAGGTGGACACGGATCGTCTGTCAGTTGTCAGGACAGACAGTGGGTTATGTGTACCTCCTGGCATCCTCCCTGTTGACACCCTCGTTCTGTCCTACTGCCTGCCATACAGTGCGTAGACAGGTATCACCACTGAGACCACTGTTCTGAGCGTCGCCTCTTAACCAGGACAGTCTTTCACACCATCTGAGAGTTTAGAGACAGGCAGTAGGAAAGATCATGCGCAGGATGACATCTTCTTAACAGCTTAAAAGGTGTGACAAGCAAGAAAGGGACTTCTATAAAAACTCATCTTAAAGAAAGTAAAAAAATGGGGAAAAATTAATATTGTGGGGCATTGTTATAGAGATGCTGGCTTACAGCATTTGACTTTGCCTATGACATACACACTTTGCCTATAATTAAAAGGTTGGTCTGACACTCCCAAAAATGAATTAGAGATTCCCTCCCTTTAAGTATGTGATGGTACCAACAGACCTGGATCATAGGTTCTCATGCTAAATAAGATCTTTACAAATACGAGTAAGATTTAGTCTGAAATATCAACAACGTTTACAGAGCAGGAGTTAGAATGTGCAATTCCTCATAGGAAGGACTGCGGAAAGAGACTCCATGGTGACAAAGCTTTACTCTCTCCTGGAAAAGACCAAAATGAGAGCCTAGTATGACTGTTCTCTTACCTTCTTTGAAGTAGGATGTGATGCAGGCTTCTGTAGTCTCAGCCATGTGGCGGACGGAAGCCAGGCTCTGGCAGGCTGCTGTTAAAAGGGGCAGCACCTCCAGCCCACGCACTTTTTGGTCAATCCAGGTCCGGATACTGCCCCGGAGGAACTCTGCAGTTGGAACAGTCGCATTGTTCATCATCATTAGGACTTCCACAAAGAGGCTACTGAGGGCCATGTGGCGGGTCTGGCTGTCCATGTCTGTGGGGAACACAGAAACACACAGGACAAATGCTGCTGGGATGGTGATATGAGTGTGATCAAGAGAAGAGCAGTGCTTCTGTCTCTGTTGTTCATCAGGCAGACTTTACAATTCCAAGAGGACCGGGAGCAAGACTCTGGGTGGTGGTTTCACTTTTAAGGATAGGATGTAGCATATAAGTTCTTTGTAGCGGGGAAAGGAGGAACTACTGCAGGTTCCTTGGGTGTGGTAGTGTGGCAGAGAGTAACAGACATGTAAGAGGCTGATGTGAAACAGTAACTTATCAGAAGAAGCCTAATTAATCTTTATTTTTTAACCTTTATTCATGGAAACTGAAATACACATATCTCAGCAGTCATTTAATATATTAATTAGAAAGTCCCTCTATAAGTTATTTTATTCCCCTCCCTGCCAAAGCTGTCAGTATTCTAGGGTGATTTACATGGAAAGGTTATTATATAAAACTAAATTTAAAAATAAGGAAAGGAAAAACCTTTTGAGGAGTTTTTATTATTATTATTATTGTGGTGAAAACATATATAACAAGACATATGCCAATATAACTTCCCCATTAACAGCTCAGGGACGTTGAGGACATTTTTCATATTGTACCACCATTATTGCTATCCTTTTCCAAAATATTCCACCACCTATTAGCATAAACTCAATGCCCCATAAACAAAAGCTCCCCTTTTCCCCCTCCCTCCTGGTAACTAGTTTACCCCTGGTAACCACTAATAATCATATATGTATATATACACACACACATATACATATATATACACACACACATTTTTTTAAACCTACCTAGGAATTTTCCCTTCCATTTTTTTAAACCTATCTAGGAATTTTCCCTCCCCTCCCCTCCCCTCCCCTCCACTCCTATTCCTGGTAACCAACAAAGAAAGTTTCCTTCCATATATAAACCTTTCCCTTTTTTAACAGCAGCTATTTTATTTCTTTGGTTTTTGTTTTCAAGAAAAGTGGGCACAATAGAAGCACCAGCAGTAAAAATGGGTCTTTCCAAAAAATCGTAGATGAAAAGGAAACAGAAGGCAAAAAAGAGAGCTAATCAATTTTACAAGAAAACTAACTGCAAATGAGTGGAGAAGGTCACTGAGGGCAACTCCTTTCTCATAATCAAAAACAGAAAAATACATTTCACTGCATCACTGCAGTGTGTGGAGGAATCTATTCAACAGGCATAATTTTCACCAACTATGTGAGCTGGGTACAGGTTTTTATAGAATAAAAATATCAGTGGGAATGGGAAGAAGTTGGGAGAACTTCCCCATCACACTCATCACAACAAAGTCATCTACTGGCACAGTGGCAAACAAGCCCTAACTGAGTGCTGCTCTAAGACCTCCTTATCAAGCGAGGACTTTTGTTGTTGTTATCTGCCATAGAGTCATCTCTGACTCATAGTGACCCTATGCACAGCAGAACGAAACACTGCCCGGTCCTGAGCCAGCTCCATGATCATTGCTATATGCCACCGCCACCATGTCAGTCTACCTCGTTGAGGGCCTTCCCCTCTTTCATCAACCCTTCACCTCACCAAGCATGACATCCTTCTCCATTCCCTGGAGAAGCCAAGATCCATCTGACATCAGCAATGATATCCCTCCTTCCATGTCCTTGTCTGAATCCAACCTGCACCTCTGGAAGTTCTCTGTCAATATATTGCTGCAACCGTTTTTGAATTATCTTCAGTAAGATTTTACTTGCATGTGATATTAATGATATTGTTCAATAATTTCCGCATTCTGTGGGATCACCTTTCTTTGGGATGGGTACAAATATGGATCTCTTCAGTCAGCTGGCCAGATAGCT